TCACAAAGCCCTATCACAGGCCAGGTAAGAAGATATGATACCTTGGCTAGCTGTAGCTATTATAATAGAGAAGGGCATACAGGTAAAAACCTCATGAGACAGAGAAAGAATGAGAATTTACACTGACTTCTCAGGTGATGAGGCATCAAAGACAAATCTAAGGCTTGGATGCCTGACAAAACAAGGATGCCATTTTAAGACATAGAGAATCCAAGAAGATGAGGTTTAGAGGTTCACAAGAGTAACTATTTGCATACACACAATAACCTTGATGGGCAAGACATACAAATGGACATGTCCTGTAGGCAGCAGACATGAGGACCCCAAGGTCAGAAATGGAGCTAGGCCTTTAGAGACATCCTAAAGAGGGGATATTTAAAGTCACCAGGTTGGATGAGATTGTTGAGGCTGGTAGAAACCAGCAGAGGATAATCAAGGCAGAAATCTGAAGACCACCAGCAACAAAGGGCAGGAAGAGAAATCAGAGGGGAGAAAAATATAAGAGGTTGCCATACACAAGCGCTTCCCTGGTGGCCTAGAAGGTAAAGAATCCACCTGCAATGTGGGAGGCCTGGGCTCAATCCCTGGGTCAGGAAGATCTCCTGGAGAAGGGAACAGCCACCCACTCCAGTATTCTCGCCTGCAGAATTCCATTGACAGAGGAGCCTGGTGGGCTACAGACCATGGGGTTGCAAAGAGTCAGACACGACTGAGTGACTTTCACTTATATATATATGTGTGTGTGTGTGTATATGTACACACACACACACACACACACACACATATATATATATAAAGAGTGGGGTACCACGGATAGTAAAATGTCTTTGAAGGCAGATGAGACAGCATTCCAAAACCGTCAAGTGCTCTGTTGGGAATGTAAAGTGGTTCAGCTGCTTTGGAAAACATTTTGCTGGTTCCTCAAAAAGTTAAACATAGAATTACCATATGACCTAGCAATCGTATTCCTACTTCTAGGTATAAACTCAGAAGGACTGAACACTAGTACTGAAATGCATGTGCCTGCATGTTTGTAGCAGCACTATTCACAATAGTCAAAAGGTGGAAACAGCCTAAATGGCCATTGACGGATAAACAAATGGTGATGGATCCAAACAGACTACTTTCAGTCAGTCCTAAAAATAACTACTGTGATCATACATGCTACTGCATGAATGAACCTTGAAGGAATTATGCTAAGAGGAAGCAACCAGTCAAAAAAGACCACATTTTATATGATTATATTTATATGAAATATCCTGAATGAGTAAATTCTCAGAAACAGAATGCAGACCAGTTTTTTCCATGGACTAGGGGAATCAAATGCTTACCAAGTATGAAGGCTTTTTTTTTTTTTTTTGCAGGGGGCAGCAGGTAATAAAATATCTTGGAACCAGCGGTGGTGGTTGTATAACATCCTGAATATATTAAATGCCACTGATATACTCAAGCTAAATTGGTCAATTTTAGAAGAGTTTCACCTCAATAAAATAACAATTAAAATAAGTTGCCAAATGCTTTAGAGAATTCTGAAGGGCTGAGGGCCTAGGACTAAGAAAAAGTTTTATGCAACCAGGTTTTTTCTTTCCATGATCTTCAAGTGAGAGTAAATTTCAGCAGAATGTTGAAGGTAGGAGCCCCATCCTGGAGTATTAATATGTTAGTCTGTGGTGGAATAGAGATGGTGAGTGAAGACTTTGCTTCCAGGGAGACTGGTGAAGGGAAGGGCAGTGATAAGGGAGTTGCCCTATGGAAATCTGTTTCAACCTGGAGAGATGTGAGCGTGTTTGAAGGGAGAGGGGAGGATTTGGAGAGGAATAAACAGGGAAGCACTTGATAACACAGAAACTGAAAGGAGCAGGTTCAAGGGCACAAGTGAAGGGTCAGAAAGAGAAGGAAGAGTTGCAGTTCTTCTGAGAGGGGAGGGGAAGATTGGAGGTGAACAGAGGTGGAACCCAGTTCAGTTCAGTTCAGTTGCTCAGTCGTGTCCAACTCTTTGCGACCCCATGAATCGCACCACGCTAGGCCTCCCTGTCTATCACCAACTCTTGGAGTTTACTCAAACTCACGTTCATCGAGTCAGTGATGCCCTCCAGCCATCTCATCCTCTGTCGTCCCCTTCTCCTCCTGCCCTCAATCCCTCCAAGCATCAGGGTCTTTTCCAATGAGTAAACTCTTCACACGAGGTGGCCAAAGTATTGGAGTTTCGGCTTCAGCATCAGTCCTTCCAATGAACACCCAGGACTGATCTCCTTTAGGATGGACTGGTTGGATCTCCTTGCAGTCCAAGGGACTCTCAAGAGT